AGGTTTCTTGTCTATAAACGTTCCGCAGGGCGAGACTCCTCCACCCCGACCGCACACTCTTCCCCCGAACCACCGCAAATGCACGCCAAGGCATTACAGGCTTTATAGCTTACGATTAAAAGCGATGCCGTTTCGGAGACGCGTCGCCGTACTGTCTCTTGATAGCAGGCAGACGCCGTTAGGCGCGAACGTGCCTCTATTAAGCGTCACCTGTGTATTGTCGATAAATGGTACCTGCTGTCTCTCCTTGATACCATCCTTCTGTGGAAGTATCTCTCGCATCCGATTTGTCAATTTTTCCGAACCTGCTTTTCGAACCCACGGATTCCGAAGTTATCGGGGTGATGAGAAGAAATACGACCTGAGATCTGAGGCGCGCTATATAAGCACGAGAATTAGTTCGACACTTTTGTTACCTCAGCGTCACATACGTGTGACACGTTATATGTAAGATACTCAATTTACTTTTTTAATACATTTTGTGCCATTTTTCCAGCAAATGTTATTACAGTCAATGATAATAACCTTACACGCATTTTGCTGCTTTTATTTTTTTAGTTAAAATCAGAGAATGGTATAGTTTTAGACCGAAAGTGGCTATAACTTCAATGAGATTTAGTGCGGGCTACAGTGAGCGACTTTCAATTTAAGCGCTGTAGCGAACTTGTTGATAATCCGCGCGAATGTTGCCCGGCGAATTATCCGAATGCTCAGACGACACTCCGGTAATTTCCCGAGTGGTACCTGACGGCAGGATATTTTACGTGATTTCGAGTACGAGGCGGTTATACGAGTGCGCGGATATAGCACATATACGAAGATATACGATAAGACACGGGTTCATATTGGCCACACCGCTCTACTCTTTGCGCGCGTTCGTGTCTCCATTAAACGCGGTCTCGGATGCTTTATTTGCAGTAGACCGTCCACTGTGCCAAAGGAATTGCCTTCTGGACAGGACCGATTGATCGCGGATATATGAATTACTTTAGAACCGCGATATTTTCTCTCTGCAGTGTCGCTGATGTCTCGATTCGGTTGGGTTCTTTCCGAGGCGAGAATCCACACGACTTCTTTATCTTCGGTATTAAACAATCTCGGCAGTTAAGTGTCGAATTAAAGTCCTGTTAAAATAAAATTATACATATACTCGATATTAAAATTAGATAAAATTATATATTCGGTATATTACTTTACACGGGTAATGTGTTAAAAAGTACACAAATATAATATTAAATCAAGACGTTCCCCGTGTTAAAGTAACAGAAAATTCAGTAGATCATTTTTAACAGAAAATTCTTTTACCGTGTTCGAACGTGTCTGCTTTCATCATCGACGTTTCATCATCTTTTGAGATCAAGAAGCCGGAGTTCCACTTATTGCGCAAGACCAGCTTCTGACCGCAGGCAATTCGCGCCAGGATCTCGCGCGCGGGTCGAACCGGGGGATACGCGATTAACCGACGGAACGTTTCCATCGGCGCGAAGACCGGCAGAGGGAGAAAGAGAAAAAGAGAGAGAAAGACAAAGAGGCTGTCTCCCTTGATACGCTCGTCAACGCGAAACGCGGCGTCGCGTCGGCCGTGAGCACGCGCGCGCGACTTCTTATCGCCGACGCGTTCAATGCATAAAGCATAAAGTTCGTATCTCATGCATACATTCATAGAGCTGGCGTGGCGATGGCGGAGGCGGGGGGCTGGAGCGAGACGAAAGTCATAACTTACGGGGTGTGTGCCACACCTCTCGTGTGTGTATACCAGTATCCAGTAACCACCGCCACTCCGCTCGAGAGAGTATCGAAACACCCGCGGAATCACCGGAGGATGACTGAGGCACGTATGACGGCTGGCGCTCTTCGCGAAGGCTCTCTCGCCTGCGCTCAAAATTCCATTTCGCCGCGAGAAAATTCCATTTTTCCAACAGGGTCCCTCTCTCCCTCCTGTTCTCTCTCTCTCTCTCTCTCTTTCCCGGACGATTCATTGAAAAATAGTCCATTTACCGCGGCCTCTTTTTGCAATAAATCAATCGCGCCTTTCCGACTGTGCCCTATAAACATCCCCTTCCGCCTGCCTCTTCCATCTTCCATTTTTCTCGCCGGGAGCTCTCTACTTGCTTCGATGCACCAACCGAGCCATTGGATTGTCTTCCGAGATGACTGCTGACAAATAGCGAATCGATCCGGCGCCGCCGCGCATCGGCCGATACGCCATAAAGCTGCCGCAACGGAGCGCCGTTTTGATGCTTTATGGGCATCGCGTCGCATCGCCGGCCGATGGCTGGATGACGTTGTCGGGATGGATGTGTATGCGGCTTGGATTGGCCGCGAGAGAGAGAGAGAGAGAGCGATGTTCGTTTAGGGAATGAACCGCGGACGACGGGCGTGACGCGTATTCGTTCCCACGTCGCGTGAAAACGCGAACCGGCACGCGGTTTCCGGGACAACGGATTTTACAGGTGCCGCGAGAGCTTCGCACCGATGTCGGTGGAATTTCAAAGGACCGTTTCCGCGCTTTGTTCCCCGGTTGGTCTTGGAACGTCTGCTGACGGCCGTTCGACGTTTGTGTTTTGTGAATTTCCGGCCCCCCAAAATATCCCTTAAAATTTAACGCGCAAACTTCCCTCCTCTCGCGCATTTCCTTCCCGCTTGTGCGTCGCAAACGCGAAATAATGTGCAAATCTCACAAATATTTCATACGTTTTATTTACACTCATCTTTGTCATATATCCACCGTGATTGCATTTCTAGGGTCGAGACTACAAGAACGAGAAGCATTGACTGTAAAATGTCGATTTTAGGGAGACTGTAAGATGAAAACTTGCTAAGAATTCGATGAAACTTTTCACCACGTATACACTGAAATATTACCTAACTGTTCGTGCAGTCAGGAGAAGATTCGCTATAATTTTGCTCAATGAACACTAATTTTATGAGTGACTCCCTTGATGCGCCATTTTAAGAAAGTACAAAAATGCGACACTGGCTTTTACAGTCTCCCTAATTGTCACTCGCGGATTGATATAGTTGTTGATTTTTTTTTAATATTTTCCCTTCGAAAAAAAATATACACGTTACCCAAGGGATACACCGGACTGGCACACTGGTTTTTACGAGCACGGCTCCGATTGCACTATTAGTGCATCGTAGGTTGTCGGTCGGAGGTGATAGCGGATCGCAGATTGATTTGCGTTGGGAGCAGGTGCGGCCCGAGCGGGATCGATGGCCGCGCGTCGACACTTTCTTTCATCGCGTGACATGCGAGGGAATAAAAATTCCTCATCCGCGGTTTTATCGACATCGTGGAATGAGTCGGCGGATGTGCCGTCGAACGCCGGGGGAAAAACGTGCCACGGTGAAGAAGGAGCAGCGCGCGTTGTCTGGCGCGAAAGAAGCGCGCGAGAAGGCAGAGCGAAATCCTATTCTTTCGTTTGCATTAATATCCGGAAGCCTGAGATTACACGTTGGCATATCGGCTGCGAATCCATCCGCGGTAAAATCGCAGCGGACGGTATATCGAATGTGTATTCTGCGCTCTCCGCCGCTTTGACTTCTTTTCTCTCAAAGATGTCTTTAAGGCGTCTTAAAAATGTCTTAATGTAACGTCACGCAATCGTCGTGATATCCCGACTGTTTCCCGCGCCGCGCAATCGTCGGGTATACGCAAGCGATAAAAATCCCTGTTGTAAGATTGAGAAAGTTCACGACACGGCGCGACACGACGTTAAAGTGCATCAACATTCCGACGGTGTGTTTATTTCCAAGACAGACGAGTTTGAAAAGTTCAAACAAGCAGTAATCTGATAAGATAAACTGCGGATTGTGCTGCCGCCGGTATCATTCAACAGACGCCTTGTGGAAAATGCAGCTTCAACTCTGAATGCCACGGGGTTAAGTGTATCTTACCTCGCAGACGACCTGTGACTTTCTGAAAGCTTGCTATTATTTCGCTCGCATTGTTTGTGTTGCGTGCTCTTGGAAAATCTCATTCCTTATCAAATATATTTCTCCCTTCCTTTCTCCGTCTTTTTCCCCCTTTTCTTGAACTACGTTTGTCTCTATTATCAGTTAGCATAATTTAACGCTTGTGCAAGCTTCCATTTCTTATTTGGCTCTCTCACTCCTTCTAGGAACATCCGATATGATTTCGTTTCCCCTGCAGATTTTATTTCCGTTACATTCCACTTTTTTCCACCGAAAAGCTCTCCCTCCTTCCTGCTCCATAATACAACGATTCCCCTTCTTTCTCCCCTTTTTGTTTCTCGAGCCAAGAATCCCGAGGAATCGTGCGGTAGATACTCGCGTGCTAATGCTTAATCGTCCTTTACGCTTCATTGTTCATGTTCATTAAAGCTCAACTGTGCATGCGACGCCCCGCGATTTTCAACGGCGTCGAAATAACGAGAGGCGTCTCTCTCTCTCGGCGTGGCTCCTTTAATTGGTGATAGGATAACTACGGGGTGGTCATTAATTACAGTCGGCAAGCTCCCCAGCGTTGCGGTTAGTTTGCTTCGAAGCTACTTTCGATCTCCGTCCCTCTTCCGCCGCTTCCGCTGTGCCACCTCCGCTCGGCTGTTCCCTTTTCCCCCGCGCCGGTTCTCTTACCTCCGTAATGCCGAGGGTATCGAGAGCGTTAAGACTGAAAGACGGACGATAATTAAAATTGACGCGCTCCCTCCCTTTCTCTCTCTCTCTCTCTCTCTCTCTTCCTTTTTCTTAGAGAGAAAAAACGTACAGCAGGAAGAACGACGCACGCGATATAGATTATAGAGGAAAATAAATTTCTCGCGATGGAAATTGCGAACGGCTGACGCAGTTTCTCGTGATCGGCGAACTAGCGTACTCACCACCGCGCAATCATTTGTGAGCGAAATTAATCGAGTAAGATTAGCTTCTCACTCGCAACAGAATGCGGCGAAAAAGGTTAATGCGGCGCGATGATTAAGTTGCGATCGTCAATAAATACAACTGTGACACATATCAAATATTTTTCCTTGTGTTTTCAGATCGCCGACTGGTGTCCCGAAGAATCATCAGACAACTGATCGATTCTCATGGCAGCGCGGAAACTCGCAGCTCTCTTCGCCGCGATCTTACAACTTTGCTTATGTGAGTGAGTCTCCTTTTCTCTCATTAGCGTATGCGTTAATATCCTCGCGATATCCCTTTATATGAGTTGGATTGTTTGAATCGTTAGATTAGTTGGATTTGTTTCGTATGTATATATATTTCGAGCATTACTATGAAATTATGAACTTTGCACAGCATTATTTTCAAAACAAAATAGTCAATATTTCTTAAATTTGTGTCTGCATATCTTTAATATCAGTAATTTTTCTATCTAAATCTTACTTTCGGTTTAGAAGATATTAAAAATATAAATTTTTTTAAATATTCCGCTAATTTCAAGGAACGCGTACAAAATGTAACAACTTTGGTTATAAATAACTCAGCTCTCGAATGGCCACTCTTTTCCTAATTGCGCGGACAGTTAGATAATATTTCAATATATACGTAATACAAGTTTCATCGAATTCTTATCACACTCATTTTACAACCTCCTCAAATATACGAGGCGGCCTGGTTTCGAAGGCTTAAATGTCGAAGCCATGTAGTTACGTTCATGCAGACTTGCTGATTTAATAAGCAAGCAATCATCCTTTCATACCCGTTTCCTACCATATACCCGCAATTTGTTCGACGAATACAGACCAATTATCTGAAAGCTACGAGAAATTCGATCAATAAGCATCCGGGGAAGCCGCGGGCGCGCTATTTCAGCGTCTCGTCTCAGAGGCGAAAAATTTGTGATCGCTCTTCTAGCGTTTGCTCTCGCCGACCCTCGCCGTGTCATCCGAACGTCACGGTATTTCCGAGCCCGGGAGAGATCAACGGCGGTTCTTATAATTCGATGGAAGAGTCAGGAGACGAAGGCAAAATGGACCGCCGCCGTGACGGCGAGAGAGCCGCGTCACGCCGGAGTGACGACGAGGAAGGGCGGAATTGAAGGACGAAGGAAAAGGGTGAATCGAAAGAGCGCCCGTTCACAATCACGGGCGTTGCCTCCGTCCGTATGACTTTCATGAGGAAGCCACGGAAATTCTCCCGATGTCGTACAACAACCATCCGCAATACTGTTTGTTCTGACGACCGAGTGCGTCGAACCGTTTCTCAAACAGAAATAACTCTCGAATATTTCCTTCGGTACACGACGTAAATGTGAAGGTAGTTACGGCTAGAAGCGGCCGGTATAAAAGAAACGTGTATAATATTTTATGGGATATTTATTCTTTCTCTCTCTCTCGCGCTCCGTTCTCCGTTTTTCGCGAGCCACGCGAAGAAACGATATTGTACCTTTTAATGACAAGCCGAGAATTACAATGAACACGAAATATCCATCTCACTGGCCGCGTCACGTTATTTTCAAGATAAAATGCACGAAACGATGTATAAGGAATGTACGTTTCTGAATATTTTCAATTTCTCAGGTTATCAAGATTCAGATCGTACTGAAGGAAATATTATAATTATTATCGCCCTTAACTGTACCATTTTTATGGTTTTAACTACAAAAGTAGTGTTAATACACATGTAAGATTATATTGTCGCTAATATTATACACGGAAAAAAAGCCTTCGTTTCTGCAACGGGGTAGAGACCAGATGAAAGCTCAGTAACAGGAAATGAAAAGTCGGCAACAAGAAGTGATATCTCTGTTACCGCGACTGAGAACATTCGTTTGAACATTCAGCTGCATTAAAACTCGGTTGGAATAACTGAGGACAATAACTGAGTGGAAGGAATCCTCCTATTGGAATCTTTCGGTTCCTGCAATCAAATTTTCGTCCGATCTCCAGGCAGCGGAAAATTCAGTTATACCAACGGAATTGTTTTATTCCGTGTAATAACACTTACTAGAAAAATGATTCTTCCGAACGCAATTCTTTCGCTATAACGATTATAATTACAAATGCCAAATATTTTTCTCTCAGTGTGTAGACATTGAAACGACCGATGAAAAAAGGCACTTACTCTTTTTAATTCTGAAATTTTCTTTTTTAGATTTACTCGTTTAAACTTCAACGCAACTTTAAGCGAGTGTGTATGTGTGTGTGTGTGTGTGTGTGTGTGTGCGTGTGCGTGCAAAATTCTGTTCGAGCAACGATAACTGATATTGGATTCGCGTCTCGTCTCGAACTCCTCGGCCGAAAGTGGGTCCCACGTGCTACGACAAATCCCCGCGTAACTCATTTTATGAGGCCCTTTTATGTGTCACAGGCCTTAGGCCCTGGCGACTAATCCGGCCACTGTCCGTGAGCTTTGCAGTCGGCCAAGTTCCGTTGTAAGCCGCGGCCGTAAGACGCAACGGATGTTACCTCGCTCGGCGAGAGGGAGCGCCAAGCCGGCCTCCTCCCGCCCACCCACCCCCTTTCGCTCACTCTCGCTCTGAATCTCTTACCCCGTTATATCCGCGTTGCGGTGGCGCGGCGCCGCAACGACCCTACGAGGACGATACATCGTCGGGGGTAGCCAGCGCGAGGGAGTTTGTAGAATCCACTTAAATCCACCGTGATTTACTCGGGCACGCCGCGTCCAGCCCCCCCCTCCCCCTCTTCCTCCCGCTCATCCTGCCTTCCTTCCTTCCTTCCTTCCTCCTAACCGCCCGGATGCAGCCGCAACCGCAATAAGTAACCAGGCCTCAAGTTTTTTGGACCGATGGAAAGCGTTGAGAAGGATTCGTCACCCGCTGGTTAATCCTTAAGTACATAGCGCGTTATATTCGTGAGGTTTTCTACAGGAACGCGCTGTTACGTTATCTCACGTAACTCGATACGGATAGCAGAAAACTCTTCTTATTATCGAACCTTTTCTCTCCCCCTCCTCTCCCTCTCTTTCTATCTTTATTTATCCTTTTCAATTACTGACGCAATACATTTTCGCTCTTCTTCCTCGGCGTATCGTTGTCATCGGAAGGCCATCGTGAGTTGTGTTCCCGTCGAGACCCGTCGAAGATGAAGGAATCCTAGATAGAAATCAGCGCAGCGTTTCTTTGACCCGACTTCGCCAAGTTGATTATGTAATGGCGAGATATAAGTGCGGACGACGGGACTCGTCGCGGACATATTAAAGCTCCCGCTCTTTTGTCCGTCCGTAGAATTAAAAGGCGCAGCCGCTCGAAGGGATTAGACGGAGAGGGCGTAATTAATTTCGGCAGTGCTTCTTATTTTTAACGACGGTCGTATTATTGCTACGCCGCGCTTTCTTTATTTCACTTCCGATACTTTGTCCCGCCCACCGTGGCTCAGGGCAGATCCGTACGAAATGGTATTACGGTATTTCTTTGAATCGGGGGAATTTACGGGATTTTTGCGGAGCGCGTTTTCAGCGTCTGCGAGCCCGCGAGGATGCGACGGGGGAGATATCTCTTTCCTTTTTTTCTTCCCTCCTTTCGCCGACTCGACGAGGGAGGAATAACGCAACGTGCACGGTTTCTCGACGCGCGAATATCGACGCGATGCGTATGCGCGCGCGACGTCATTACGCCCGCAATTTTTCCCGATTTACCCGGTTACGTATATGAATATGTGTGTGTGGTTTTTTTTTGTTTGCTTACAAAAACGCTAATTAAGGATACGACGTAGTGGCGGTGGGCACCGCAAAAATGTGGCGGACGCGGCGGTGTCGCGCGATAGTAAACGCCGTTACGCGTTAGCGTAATAATTACGAATGCGACCGTTAATACACTCGCCTAATGGCGCGATCAGCGTAACTATGATGTTCCCACCTTTTACCATGCATACCTAAAAGTATATTACTTCATAGTCGCGAGCCAACGCGGCTGTTCCCCCTCTCGTGAATCCTTGCGATACGCTCTCAATATCCAAGCTCGGTTGCAGCTTCCAACGGTAAGCGTTGAAAGTTTCATTCGCGTACACGTCCAATAGATCAAAACGTAAATTGCGACAAGAATAATATCGCTTTGTGACTTGACGGTGCGTAGAGAAAAAAATTAATCGAATATTTTCTCCCTCTCTCTCTCTCTCTCTCTCTCGAATATTTTACTTCCGTTCTCGAATCACGAAGTAATATTTGTTATTCTCGTTCCAACGTAACAACTGTTATTTCGTAGCGTTCTTTTTTTGCCCGCTTTCCCAATGTCAAATTTAATCGAGAAACTCGAATTTTTATTCTACTATAAATCCACGGAGCGGACGAATTTGTTAAGTCAATTTTTTCTGCAAATTTCAAACTCGACATGAGAAATGTCAAACGATACCGTATCGTTTAAACATTACATAGCACTTCTACATACGACAATACGTCGAAACTTCATTCTTTTCGTGTCCTTTGGTCTCGTAGGAAGACAGATATTCATCTACGGGGAGTTCTCTCTTTGTTTCTTTTCTTCTCTTAGATAAAAACGAGCCGCGAGATATGAATCGACCCAAACACAAGGATCCCTCGTGACTGCTCGTTCGCGAAATCGCAGCCGCTCGTATTCTCGTCAGCGATCGGCCCTCGTCGCGCGTTCTCCCGCAAGATTTACGAGCTCCTTGAGTTTGCAAAAATCTTCTTATATCGGCTTTCGCCGCGAGGTCCTTCCGAGGGCGCCTCTTCGACCCGCTCCATCTTCATCGGCGCTGATGACACGCGGGAGAGTGCCAGCTTCCATTTTCAATATCGTCGCCGATAGTCGCCCTCGGATCGTCCTTCACGCCGCGGATCTTGCGAGTCTACTCGGGTGTCCGTCACCGCACGCGACGTTATCGACGATCACCGGTTGCCGCATCTATTTCCACACTTACACACACGTGTGAACGAAATGTAATATCTATCGAAATGCAATCAGTTGGACCGAGGTAAAATGTCCGAATCGGTGCAGTCTTAAAAAATACATTGTTTCGTAGCTCGGTTTATATTTCGAATACAGTTATGTGTGTGGGTCCGATCGTATTATATCGATATAGAATCGTGTTACAAAACGATAAAGAATATATTTTTAATTGTGTATGTGTGTGTGTGTGTGTGTGTGCCTGTGTAATTAAATTAATTAAATTAATTTAATATATGTAATTGAATTAATTAAATTAATGTAATTTAATATATTT